GCCATGTTTTAAAAAAAACTGTATTTTTTATTGGGATTATAATTATTCGCCATCAGTTCATTCGTGTGACGAGATATCCTCACTAACAATGCATGATATTGTTCGGCAATCATGATCTTTGACTATTCAACAATAAATATGTATGCAATAAATATGTCGTTGTTGTTGCGTTGTCGTGTTAGTTCCCATACAGTTGCCCCCCCCCGTGGCACAGCGGAATGTCTGCGGACTTACAACACTAGAAACCGGGTTTCGATACCCGTGGTGGGCAGAGCACAGATAGCCCATTTTGTAGCTTTGTGTTTAACTTCAAACAAACAAACCCATACAATTAGAGTTTACACTTTAAATTGTATACAAACGTGATGTAGCGGGTTCTTATAGGGGGCGACAAAGCCGTCGTAACAAAACGATTCTGACAGATCTTCTGAAGCCAATAAACCGCTAACGTTCTACGACGCAGTTCTTTGAGAGACTGTATAGCCAGGATATGACACCTAGACACGGTTTCAAACAGGCACGTGCATTTACCTGAGATAAATCTGTATCAAAACTTATATCTTCAAATTACTGGCTTGTTTTTATACCGTTTACTTCATTTGGGGGTCCACATATTGCACCAAAATTCTTACTATTTGAAAACGCTCGAGTTCCTGGATTTTGTCAAATATACTTAGATAAATATTTAATAATTTCATGTTTCCACCATTTATAATGCTCATTGTAAAGAACTGTAAAAAGGGGTGAAATCATATATTTTTATATGAAATACATAGTCGACCCCAATATTCATTAATAGAATTAATTACATCATTAATGATTTTTTTGGGTATACAGTTTGTTGTGGGACTCGTGATATTAACGGTCCTCTACCCAACAAAGTCGTAGATTCCCAAGAAATGTGGTGCCTAATTAGTATAGAAAAACTTCGTGCCCTTCAATAATGCTTGGTTTAAAAATTGTTTTAAATATTTCAAAGGTACAACGTTAGCAGTTCCCTCTTTTCTTCTAGCGCTTAAAACAAGAAATATTTAAATATGCACGGCCCCCAGAGGCTCAACGGTAAGTCTGAAGGCTTATAACGGTAGAAACCGGGTTTCGATACCTGTGGTGGGCACAGCATAAATAGCACATTGTGTAGCTTTGTGCTTAGCAACAAACAAGTAAATAGGCATTTGCAGTTGTTTCAGTTTCTCAATATCATGAGTGCAGTTGTTTCAGTTTCTCAATATCATGAGTGCAGTTGTTTCAGTTTCTCAATATCATGAGTGCAGTTGTTTCAGTTTCTCAATATCATGAGTGCAGTTGTTCCAGTTTCTCAATATCATGAGTGCAGTTGTTTCAGTTTCTCAATGTCATGAGTGCAGTAGTTCCAGTTTCTCAATCTCATGAGTGCAGTTGTTTCAGTTTCTCAATGTCATGAGTGCAGTAGTTCCAATTTCTCAATCTCATGAGTGCAGTTGTTCCAGTTTCTCAATATCATGAGTGCAGTTGTTTCAGTTTCTCAATATCATGAGTGCAGTAGTTCCAGTTTCTCAATCTCATGAGTGTAGTTGTTTCAGTTTCTCAATGTCATGAGTGCAGTAGTTCCAGTTTCTCAATCTCATGAGTGTAGTTGTTTCAGTTTCTCAATGTCATGAGTGCAGTAGTTCCAGTTTCACTTATATAAAAGAATTTATTAAACTGCGTTATAAAATGCAAAGTCTAGTAATATTACACTTTAGAATTTCCTTACAAGGAGACTTATTAGCAAAAATATGTTAATGTCGCTGTGTACACTTGTACTGAAAAACACATTATAGTGGTGGCATCTAAAGAAGTCCAATTTCTGTCCTCACAAGTAGGAATTAGTATATGAAAATGTGTTAAAGTAGTAATAAACACTTCTGTTCAGGAACACATTAGAGAGTAAGCATTTAAAGAAACTGGTTTTCCGGTTTTACTATATTTAACCGTTTCTTCTATATATACAGTTTCGATTTTATTGGGTAATGTATTAAAGATAAATCCTCAGAATTTCTTGAATCCAAAATGTCATGACATTTGAAGTTGATAGTGATTCGAAAATTTTCCTTTGTGGTGTTGTCATGCTTCTTACAAAACAAAATGTCGTGATAAAAGACCTTTTTTTTTCTGCAGTAGTCTTAATTACCTCCCACCACCCACAAGCAAAAATATTCCATTGTGTTTGGCGACAAATAAATTATGATCTCTCCTTTTATTTTCATAACACAAACGTCGATGAAATTATTAAAATGTTACGACTGAATCAGTATTTCAATTTCCCATCTTTAAAATATCAAGGAATCCGTTTTTTTCTCATGTTTTTACATACTCGTAGATGCTTCAATAGAAATAACACATTTTTAAATTGATTCTTTTATCAGACTGTTCTTCCAAACGCAAACACTCTCGTAGGCTTACTAGGCTATAAATAATCGAGTTTATAAATATAACATTTTAAATGAGCAGAAATTATGAGTTCAAACAGTAATATATTTTATATTCATTAATTTTGTAACCCCAACCGACATACTATTGTCTATAAAGAGCTAATTTCTCAGCAGGTTATTTTGCAATTGGATAAACTCAATCGGAGACTTCAAACACACTCCAGTCTATGATATATTACACTCACAAAACTGACAACAAAGATTTGAACTAAAATACAAAACAAACGTGATTCCGGCAGTCGTATAGTAGAGCCGTTGCGGAACGAAACGCCGCTTCTGTACTTTTTTGGTGTGATTAAAGTACATATATTTGTAATATAAACTTAAACTGTGGATATATTATTTTATAACATTAACTTGCATGTTTTACGTGCTATATTTGAAAATAATAAAATCCATGTTTAAAATGATGACTTAAGGATAAAAACATGTTTTCTCATGTGGAGATGCTATACAAACTGTATATAATTTTCTACCTTTATGGCTTAGAGATGCTAATTGGATACGTATAAGGTTTATTGATAAGTAAGGTGATTATAAACAAATGCAGTCTGTGTGTACATATATAATTCAAGAGCTGGAAAATGGTTTAGTAGCCACTCTGGCACAAACAATT